CATTATTAATACTGCTTGAGAGTCTGTTTAGTGAGAAAGTAATGCTCCCTAAAAATTTAGGTCTATTGGACATAATTGTGTCCTGATCAAAACCCTATTTCATTAGACATGGAATCCATTAAATGTCATTTAAAGTGTAACCTTTCAGTGTTAGGGAGTGTTTCTTTGTTTAATTTTTCTAGCAGTAAAAACAGTAAAATCCAGATAAATGATTCACAGTAAATTAATAAAATAAATCCAATTGAATTAATAAGTACAAGGTAATCTGAAATAAAAGAAAAGAAAACAAATTTCATTACTATAGGTACAAAACTATTGGTTAAAACAAAAAGAATGAGAAAAAAAGAAAATGTAGGGTATGAAATTAAAATTTAGACCACAGTAAATGACCATAACAAAACAGTAACATATATTCAGAAGGAAATCTTAAATTAAATTAATATTTTTGTTCAACTCTGTTAGGGAAAGAGTTTCTAGGATATAAATAAGGCACTGTTCCTCATGTTCATGTGAGGAATGTTTAACTGAAGCAAACCATAAGACATGTTTGAGATGTGAAAGATTGTGTTTATCATTGTAAAAATGTCAGAAAATTGGCTCATCAATATTGCTATCTGACATATAAAGCTAAGTTTGTTCGCACCTTTCAGCCCCTATATTAGTAGGCCTATAAAGGTATGGAATCAGCATACTCAGGTGTAATAGATGACTGTGATGTCACATTTTTAGTGTCAATGAAAGTGCAGTAATCTAATATTTTCCACAGAAGAAGGACCAGATTTTTGGTCTGATTTAAGTGGAAATGACATCAGAAAAATGTATGTATGTTTTAAAGAGAGATGTGCTGTCATTGTGGTGTCAGAATAAAAATTCCATCATATGCTGTTGTGACAAACAAGACAAACTATTTTATAGAATAGACAAGTTGAACCCACGATATTCTTCCAAAATAAATTGGTTTTTATTCACTTTATTTCGGGAGGGAAGAAGGGAGTTAAGTGTGATAAACATTTCTGATTCTTATTATATAACTCACAGTAAAATATTGAGAAAAAAAAACAAAGCAATTCTGATTGCCGATCACAAACAGCAAAACGTTTGCAAGAAAAGTGACAGAGTGAAACTGCAAAAGAAAGGGAAACAAGCCTTGACAGCCAATGAAAAAGACAAGCTGCTCAATGTCAAGTTGAGATTGAGCAAGAGCGTCAATTTTGCAGAGACAGTGACAGCATCTGCCCCGTTCACAAGAAACATCAAGAACATGAAGCCTTTGTTTCATTCATTTTTAAAATATCTAAACATCAGCCCTCTGTTCAGGTAATACCCAGGCAATGCTGGCTAGGTAATATGTATTTTGTGTTCACAAGATCTCTTACTAACTTTGCAGCCTGTCTCACTAACTTATAAAAGCTGCAAAGACCACAAATTACGTAGTAAATGACAGACTTTGATAAACATGTGATAGAATTTTTCACCTCAAAGCATTTTCCATCTGCTGCTGTTTATTTGCAGAAGTTATATTTTTCAGGGTTAAATTCATGACTGAAGCTAAAGCAGATATATGTTTAGAATTTTTAACAGTGAATGTTAGTAACAATTTTAAAGAAAGGAAGTCTATAAGTTTTGAGTGTTTGATAATGAAGCAATGTCATTTTTATTACCTTCTAGGTCAGACAGACTGCACCATTCTGAGAAATTGTGGCAAATATTAATTCTCACAATTTTCAACACAAAAATCTTTTTCAAAAAGTTTAGATTATGATCATATTTGTTACTTTTTTTAGTTTGGTTATTTTTATTCTGTAATACTAGATATTTCAAAGTAGCATACAAAATTCCAGGAGAAACTTTCTTAATCCCTCAAAATTGCTGACATAGGTAAACTTGGATAAAAATACTGAATAAAAGGGAAAAAGATTAGTGGAGCAAGAAAGAGCTCTTCTGATACAGTCTTATCTCCTTTCACACAAGCTATCACGATCTTCTTTCTGCCCTCTAAGCATTGCAAAAAAAATTTCATGCTCAGCACACCAGTCTATATACCCCATCAATTTTACACCTTTTTTGAACATGTACATATCATGTGACTATTCTCCACCAATAGTATTGCACCACCTATATTGCCACAGCTTGCTTTCTCTGCTATTCCCACTCAATCCTCACTTTCTCGATTGGCACATTTAACTTTGACGTGTTTTTTTTGCATGTGCCTACCTAGTACTTATTTGCCATTTCAAATTTATTTTTCAACAATTTTCTTTTACTGTGTTTACATTTAATTGTTTCAATGATTTTTGTTTTGCATTTGTTTCTTGTTATTGAATTATACAAAAACTTCATATGAATTCATAATTCAATGTATCGACTGTGGTAGTTCCTGTTACGGTCAACAATGCTACTGATATGACTTCCCATGAATCGTGTTCAGCTTTATCTGCAGAGGAGGTACAGGTCTTAATTTGCAGGGAGCTTGATTCATATGTTCGTCAGTGATTACTTCTCCTTTTCAACCTGACAATGTTGCTGAGAAAGAATACAATCAAGGAGAAGACAATTTGGATTATCTTTTTCTGGCTCCTTCTTATTTGGTCTGTCACACTCTACACCTCTACGAGAGACTTCACCTTCCACACCCTTTTTTACAGCTGGTTACTCAGATCAGTAGTTTATGGATGCATCTTTAGAGGGTTGGGGTGCTTGCCTCAACACTCAGAAGATTTTTGGTCTCTAGTTGGCCAGTGAGTTTTCTCTCCATATCAACATTCTCAAACTTAAGGCAGTTCATTGAGCTTTGTTCCACTTCCTTCCTTTCCTGTGGGGAGAGGGCGATTACATTACATTTTGACAACTCTACAGGGGTTACTTATATAACCAACCAAGGGGCTACCAAATCCAGCTCTCTGTGCTTTCAGACCCTGGATCTCCTTATCTGGGTCCACAGTCACCACATGGTTGTCTTATCTTGCCATGTTCATGGCACCTTGAATCTGGCTGTCGATCATTTATCTTGACCCAAAAAATTTCTCCCACGTAGTGGTCTCTCGACTCACAGGTTTTTCGGTGGGTGTGTTCTCAGCTTAAAACATCTATATCGATGCTTTCACCACCAACTAGAACACCAAACTTCCTTCCTTTTGGTCTCCCATTCTATACATGCTAGTTCTAGGAGTGGACACATTCAGTCAAGATTGGAGGGCTCATCACATCTATGCTTACCTTCCTATTCAACTTTTCTATGGAATTCTGTTTCTAATCCAAACCACTCTGTGTCTAGTCCTACTTGTGGCTCCATATTGGCTGGTGCAACCAGAGTTCCCTCTTCTTCGACCTTCACTTGTACAACCTCCCTTACCTCTGTCTTGGTCTCTAGTCCATCAGCATTGTTCATACAGATGTCACCACACTCCATCTGCATGCATTGACTCCACTTGTTGCATCTTTTCTTTCCCAGTCTATTAGACCTTCTTCCATGTCCATTTACCAAAGGTAATGATCTACCTTCCACCTTTGGTCTATTTGATGTGGCTTCAGTCCTTCCCACCCTTCTGTTCCTCATTTTTCTCAATTCTTCACCTGGTTGTTTGACAAAGACATGTCTGCTTTGACCATGTCTAGCTGTTTGGCGGCCTTATCAAACACCTTCCATTTCTCAAAGATTTGTAAGGTTTTGGCTTCTCCTGTCATTTCCCTCCTTTTTTTGCTCCTTTTGAGTCATGTGTCCTCCATGTTCCTTTGATTTGCCTGATTGGGATCTTAATGTGGTCTTTTATGCCTTTTTTTCTTTGAACCTTTGTGTATGTGTTCCATGTACCATCTAATCATCTGCCTCATAATACCAGCAACAGGACGTATGTACACTGTTTCTGTGGTTGGGCAAATGTTCTATTTCCTCCTCCATTTCTGGATGCAAGATGTCTCTTTCCTGTATTTACGGTTGAGTGATTTTTTTTATGATTTCTGCTCGTAATACCGTTGAATGATACTACCCTTTTTTTAAGGTTGAGTTGAGGCAACGTCAGGACCCTGTAATGCTGGATTTGGTTTGTTGTGCTTCTTGCTCCAATGGTGGTTTTTGGAGTTTGTCCAGTTTTGACTGAAAGCTAACTTCCCCTTCATAATTCCAGTTGCTTTTTGTATGACACTGTTTACTTACAGTTTGAGTTGATGTAACATGGTCCACATGCCCTAGCCACTGTGTTTATGTTACAATATATTTGTTTTTATCTTTTTTGTTCCTCAACCTCCTAATGCCAAGGATGAGTCATGGAAGCTTGTCTGTCGGTTCAGGTTATGTATGTAGATAGCTATTTCAGTTTACAATGTATTACACTTCTCGGAACAAATTGAACTTGTGCACAGCATTCATTTCCTACTTCAAGGATGAAAAGCAGACCTATTCTGGAAGTAGTGTGGTACCACACAAGTGGGCTTCATTTCCATCTCAGAGCACACCTGCTCATTCTAGGCAGTTGCTTTCCCCTTGGTTTTTAGTGTTGTATGCCTTAACTGGCCCATCCATCTTTGCAATGTGGAATTCTAGCTTTGTGTGAGATGAGGTAAGACCATATTGTAAGTTAACATTTTTCTTACAGTGAAAATGTATTTCCAATAGATACTTACCTCTACGAAAATGAGGATTGAGAAGGAATAGTAAAGGGAACTAGCTGCGCCAATGTAGGTGGTGCAATACTATTGGTGGAGAGTAGTGACATGATATGTACATGTTCAAAAATGGTGTGAAATTGATGGCATATATAGACTAGTGCACTGAGTTCGAAAATTTTTAGTAATGCTTAGAGGGCAGAAAGAAAAATTGAGATAGCTTTTTTGTGAGGGAGGTATGTACCTGTCAGAAATACATTTTCATGTAAGAAAAATGTTAACTTTAAAACTGTTTTGTTTTTAGTATTATTTAAAATCTTTATTGGGATTATATTTTTTCATGTTCAAGAGCAATGCTTATTTAGTTGTGTAAAATGTTTTATTTTTTTATTTTTCAGGGTTTATGGGTGTATTTTTAAAGGTTGTAGAGCCAAACCTTCGCTCGGCACATGGGACAATGATGTGTTATTGGCACGGTACTGGAATGTATGCCATGAACTTGCTCATAGTCACTGCCATCTCATGGAAGTGAGTTTGCTTAATTATGTGCATTGTTAGTTATAATTTTATAAGGAGCTATGTACTAGTTATCTGCAAGTTCAAGAATTCATTAATTTTGTACATTCAAGATCAAAGCTTGCATCTCATTTCATTATTATTGCATTTTTTAATTGATTTTGTGCTCACCATGCTCACAGCTAATACCAAAAGTAAATAGGAAGAAAATGAAATAGTTAAAACAATTTTTAGAGGTCAGTTAATTTGGTGTCATAAAATAGTGTTATTTTCAGCACTGAACAAATACTCTATAGGTGTGAGTTGGATTGTTTTTATTATTATATTATTCAACTGTAGTACTGTATGAATACGATATAGAAAAGTCATAATTTGGAGATCCTGTTTTCTTGTGTATAGTTTGGAAGCTTTATTAGAGAGAAGATAATTTTATACCATAATCATTTTCTTCTTTTAAATTGTAGTAATGCCTTTATTGAAGTTGGATTGTTTTGGTGTGGTTCCATAGCCAATAGTATGGTGGTGCTGTTACTAGCAGCTTTATCAGGTAAGTTGTTTTGTAGCTTTTTGATTATGATCTATGTGTTTCAAGCAAATGCTTTTTTTCAAGCCAGAAACAAGCATGTTGGTTATTAATTGACAAGCTTGTTTCTGGCTTGAAAAAGAGCATTTGCATGCAATGCTGTCAAGAAAATAAAATGCAAACATAGTTTGTTTGTTTTTAAGATGATTTATCTTCATAAGTCTAATTTCTTTATTTTATTACCTTTGCATTTTTCTACTTATTTATCAAACTCTAAACCTGCATTTATGACAATAATTACATTTGAAACACCCCTTAAATGTACTGTTTTTATTTGCTGTTTTAAGTTTTAAGCAACCCATTACAAGATACACAGTGACCTATTGGAAAAGATTTACCTATCAATTATCATATTGTGGTTTTTCCCCATAAATGTTGGGCTTGCATTCAGCTAGCAACTGGTGTGAATGTTCATAATGTTTCCTGGATTATCAAATGGTAAAGAAATGTTAGTATTCCTTGTTGGTCATAGCTTAAACACTAGAACCCTCTGGCTTTTTTGCCAGTTAGCCTCTACTAACTTTGAGCTCCACTATAACAATGTTTGTATATCTTTTATTGGAGAAAGCATGTTATAATTGAAGGCAGCTTACAGATTGAAATGTCACCCACTCCTGTATCTCGTGTAGATGCAGCCTATAAAAATCTCAAATGTAGTGAAGTCTAGTCTGTCTGAAGTCACTCTAAAACAAGACCTCAAGAACTATTAGTTACCAGAACTCATGAAGACAGAACTATTACAACCACCAGTGGTCCAAATTTAACAAGACACAAATGTCTTCAAGTCATCCCTAAGTGTCATAAACTTAAAACTCTGGACTTTCATCATATTACAGAAAATATAAAAATCCTGCAAAACAATTTTCAAAAGCTTTTAACTACAACAATTCTACCATGAGACAAAAAACAAAATATACAGTCCAACATACAACTAAAAACACAGCATTCAGATCTATTGATTTTAAACTGATCTCTGAAAAAGTCACATCATATTAAGAAACTCGACAAATTCATAAAAAAAAGATAATTGCTTGCACTAATTTAAGTTCCAAAATTCTAATGTAAGAAAGAAAAAATTCTTTCTCTTGGATAGCGTGCAAATGATATTTGAAATTTTATTTTTACAAAATTTCTGTATTCAGGTACTTGTATTTTAGAAGTGTATTTGTTAAATGATTTTGGAAATCAAAAAGTTATGCTTTTTCAGTCTTCTAATAGAGTATTTTTTTTTAGTATAAATGAAAAAAGTATTCTCTACTTGTTGCAAACCCAGATTTTAGGTAGCTATTAAGTGTTACTTATATGTTGTTACAAAAATAATTAATGTAGGAAATACAAAAAAGGATGATAAATTTACTTCTCTTCAGATTTTTATAGGTATCTAAAATTATAGTTTTTACATATTATATTTTACATTTTATATATGTATATATATATGTTTGTGTGTGAAATAAGGTTTCTGCAAACTGTGAATGTTACTAAAAATACCACTAGGTTCTGGAAAGGTACAATGTTCATCCATAACATTTAATTGATAACTCCAGATAGATGTTATATGTTGGTATATAATCATGGCAGTGGCTTTGTTTTTAGTCAGTTTACAAACTTGGTTATTGCTAAGATCTGGGTAGCTGGTATGTGGATGTATTGATTTCATTAGCTTACTTAATATCTGTAAAACCTTCAGCTTAAGGCTGCCCATGTTAATTGTTTATGTGCAGGTAAACATGGATTGACTTGGGGAACTTTGCTCTACATATCCTTTGCTTTAATTTCTGCTCCAGAATTTTTGAAAATCTGGCAACAAAAAGAGATTCCAAAGGTACTTCTGTAACCACATTAGTATTTCATGTAATGTGTAATTTTGATAATAGATAGCTTTCTTTATCTTAAAGTTTTGCATGTTTTAAATCATACTTGTACATGGATTCTCATAGTGTATGTTCTATATTATTATTTAAATTAGTATGCATTTCTGTTATTAAACAGCTCACAGTGTATTTTCTTTACTTCCTAAGTTATTATAGTTATTAATAGGCTCTTATTCTGTTGTAATACTAAAAATACTTTATAAAGGAGTGATTTTTTGTCTTATAAATAATTCCTTTCTTATGTCAGTATTGTTTATCTCTCCTACTTCCAGGTGTACCTTGTGAAAAGTAACAGTACAACATATTCAATAATGAGAAATTATGAAAAAACTTATAATGTTATATTTTGTTGTTATTTAAAAAAAAAACTCGCACTTGAAACTTTCTCACTAAAATTACTATTTTTGAATTATTTTAGTTAATTTTGTACTTAATGATAAAAACTAAAACTTGTGTTACAGTTTTGAGTTATAATGTATTTTTTGTATTATAGTTTTTCATATGAAAGAATTTGTATATATATCTTCAATGAGCATTGGTGACTATTTAAATAGTGCTCAAATTAAGGATCATTGTATTTTGAATTTAATAATATTATTTATATTGTTACTTATATTTAGAAAGGTCGTTTACCTAATTGCTGATTATATTTTTTTCATATGATAAAATGTGTAATGAAATTTTCTCTGACACTGTTAATACAAAATTGGGTTTACAATAAAAACAGTTTGTTGTAATTACTACATGTAAATAAGTTAAAATATTGTTTGTAAATAAATAAAAAAATGCATGGAAAATAATAATTTGGAATAAAATGAACAAAATTAATACTTTTAAAAATTCTAAATTAACTTTCACAACTTAAGAAAATAATCGTAACTGAGATTAAAGAAATAACAAACATGATCTTTGTTACCACAACATTTTCAGCTTCCATAAATTTTTACCATGACTTTATGCTTTACCTGAATGTCTTTAATGAATATTTAAAAAATGTGTACATCTAATTAAATAATATGCTTAGGGAATTGGTAATAAACTTATAGGCAGATTATGAATGACTATTAGAAATAATGCACAGATAAATACTTTTTAATGTTGTGTGTATGTGTAACATCATGACAAATACATAACTCCCATTGAGTTGGTAAACCTGTTTGTTTAATAATAATATTTCTTAAGGAATCTTTCTCTGCTCTTTTTCACTATCTGAAATATCAAGTTTTCCAGAAAACAAAATACATGAATCACTTTATTTCACTAGATCTATTGTTGTTTTTAACGTGTAATTTAAACTTAACTTAAATAATTGTTCCCTGATAGGCTAGTTGTAAGTTTACAGACTTCCAAAACTAATATCTGTCTCTCAATTCTCGATGATGGACAGAGCTCAGATAGCCCATTGAGTAGCTTTGAGTCAAAAACAACATAAATATTTTGTTTTGAAGAATAAAATTACAATTTTTGATAGAAATGTTCTCCTTTTTAATAACTGGATATAAATTAATGTCGTTCAATAGTGTATGATAAAAAATCGTTTTAATCAATATCATCTTTTTTTTATATTATAATTTCTCTTAAAAGTAGTATTTGTTATAATCAATTATATTTGTCATAAGACAGTATTATTAGGCTTATTGTATTTTTAACACTACATTCTTTATTCAGTCCGTTAGAGTGTTTCTGAGAATCAAATAGTATATAATAGCATATGATGTACAATAATCCAGATATTTTCTTGTAAGCTTATTACCAAACAGTTGTATCTATGTTGTATGAATTAGTTGCTAACTTCAGTTTATGAAACTTTTTGTAATTTAATTTTTCTACACACACACAAGTTTGCTGTCTTATTTTTATTGTCTACTGCCACAACCATTATCATTGTTACACAATGTAGATATGTAAAAAAACAAGATTTCTCTCCTCTGTCTTTTATAAATAGTTTTGTATTAACTTTAATTTAAGTTAAAAGACACATATAACAGTTTCTGTGGTAACTAAACATATTTTTTATGCTAATTTTAGTTTAACTTACAATAGACAGGTTTACCCCCTTTGCCAGTGAGGAAAAGAAGTTTGGATTGTTTATGCATGTTATTTTTAACATTTGCAAGCTTCATGGCAGTTTTTAGAGGATTGGTAAGTAAACATTAATGTTTTCATACTTGTCTAAGTTGTCTTACAATGTAATTAAACTTAGAATATAGTTTCAAGCTTTGTTTTTCTTTAAGTTAATTTAAAAGTTATTTGATTCTTATGCTCTGTCTGTGAATTTGGTATGTTTACAGGTTTAAATTGCAAGCAACTATGAGAAATACATGGCAATGTTTACATGAATACTATTTCAAGTTAATTTGGTAGAAAATATTACAATTTATAGTTGTTAAGTAGAGCAGTTTTGAGTTAATGGTACCATAGATTCATCCTTTTTCATTTTACCACTACTATTTTTTATTTAAACCAAGAAATTTTTTCTCAAATAGTATATATGCACTATTTCTTATTTAAACCAAGAAATGTTTTTCTTAAATAGTATATGTACATGTAAACACACACATGTATTTCTATCACCGTTTTCACAGAGATAGGTATACAGAAAACATAAAGACATTAAAATTATGTAAATTTAATAAAGGAAATCTGGAGAAGTAAAAAAAATTAGGAGAACTAAAATTAAAAGTCCTAAGTTTTGCTTTTGAATTCTTATAACTCTAAATAAAATATTATGGAAAATATTTCTGCTTACATGATTTTCAGAAATGTGGTTTTTGTATTTTTTGTTAATGGTGCTTTCAGATTTCTCTAGGTAAATCACTTTCTGTGAAGTTGATACTGCATAATAAATGATTTTAAGGTATATCTGTGTGTATTGTTACTTTAAGTTGTAGTTAATAATTTGATGTTCTGTGTGCTTGATTCATTATTTAACAGTGTTGTTTCAGGCGGTTCTGGGAGCAGATTCACAAACGATTCAAGATTATGTAACATATATTGAGCCTTATTTAGCACTACAAGATCCAGCTCCATTTCCAAAGATTCAGGTAAGTTTGATTTGAAGCATAATGTGTAAAGCTATTTTTTTAAACTATTAAAATACTTATATCTTACAGTTATATGTGTATTACATATTTAAGTCAGTAATCCATTTTTGAGAGTATAACTTTGGAAGGAAAAGTATAAAAATGTATATTCTTTAAATATGAGCATAATTATGGTATGTATGAGCAATTAAATTATCATAGATTTGTGTAGAATACTGACATAATAAGAAGTTTCCCCCCCCTCCCCATGAAACTATTCACTCTAAAAAATATTTGTGCACATTTTTCAATTTAAATCAAGTTATTCTAATTTATGTACTTGAGTCTAGTGATAAGTGTTCTATTGTTTTAAGAAACAATAGTATATTTACAATACAATATCATTAAAGATGTGTTTTCTTTGGGGGAAGTGGCTCAGCTATTAAAGAGATTGTTTAATTATGCAAATAATTTAAATACATTTGTAACTTGTACTAGGTTAAGTATAGAACATTTGATAATGGTGTTATCTCTGTTAGGTTCTACTTAATAAGGATACTTGCACTGCGAAGTTGACCATTAACAAAGTGGTTATAAAAACTAGGTAAAGCTGCTTGAAATGGATTTGCTCCCATGCATAAAATATTTCCAATATTATTGCCATCTACTATGTATGGAATAAGTAGGGTAAAGTATTTCTCCAGGAAAGCTATAATTATGAACAGAAAGGTTTATGATGAGTAAATGATTTATAATATATATTGGTTCTTTACTTTGTTATAGATGCTGGTGTACCTTTTCTACTTTCTTCCATTATACATTGTTACAGCATATGGATTGGTGTATGAAGGATGTTACTGGGTTCCTGATATAACTGTCATCCATGCTGGTGCAGCTGTTCAGGTTAGTCCTTGCTCTTAGGCAGTTACTGAAGTGCTTTATGTACATAAATTGGTATATATACAAAATGTTGATAAAAATGGCCATAACTCTGGAATCATAAACCTACATAATTTATTTCTGCTATAGATTTCATTAATGGTAACATGTATACATGTTCACACACTTAGCTGTTTTTATAATTGAGCAGTCGAAAATGTATTCTCTCTCTTTCTTGTCAGTGGTGGACATGCATGTTATAGGCACCATAGCAAAAACAAATATTTGACCTCATTTATTGCTCTTTATTGTCATTCAACTTCTGACAGTCATTTAATTTAGAATTATGGCTGTGGTTTGAGCAATATGTAGTTACCATATTCACTAAATCACGTATGCAAACGTGTTAGATATATACAACTGTTTTAATTTAACTGTAGCATGAATATAAAATTTAATTATTTTTAGAAGTAATAGTTTATCGCAGGTTTGTTTACGTAACTGTGTACAAATCATGCATTGTGTAGTTTCGATGTTTTGATTTGGCACTTGTATTATTTCATCATGTTACAAGAACTTTCTAAGTTTTCTCATTGTCTTGATCGAGTGTTAGTACATCTTAATCTCTCATAGTGTGTGGAAAATTCTAGGCCTCAGTTGGGCTATTTATAAATATGTGTCCAAAATCTAGTTGAAGTAAGTTAGACAAAGTTAATGAAAGATATAGTCAAGTTTAGCCATAAAGAACATATGGTGGCTTTTTTTATCGCAGACTGTATTGTAACAACAAAGTAGAGAAGAATTTGTCTTGTCAATTGTGTTTTAAATTAACCGAATCAGCTTGTGAGGACTTTGACGAGAAGAGATGATTATTTAAAGCTCTGGATGCAACTGCGGTGATTAACTGTATAATGAACATTTGTATATGTATTTGACTTATTTTAATACATATTATTTTAAAACAAGTGGACTGTGTGCTGTTTGTTTATTGTTGAAATTTATTGCTAATAAGTTACAGACACCTACCGTAAAGAATCCGGCCCTCACACATACATACGTACATATAAAAAAAAACTGACTGCGTGTATGTGCAGGCTGTGTGATGAGTCAAGTGGACCCAGGAGTAAGGATAACAAGGGACTTTTTGGTCCATCTACACCATCCCACCATCTAAACTAAATTCTGAAATAAAAATAAAACACTCAATGCCAGCTGTTAACACTCAGATATTTATCAAGCCTTTCCTTAAATTTACTGATTCTACAACATAAAAAGACAACCCATTCCAAAGGCCAACCACCCTGTTAGAAAAATGAAACTGTCTTAGCTGAAGATGACTTCAACCTTGCCAAAATTTATACTTGTGTCTCCTAGTTATACAATACTTACCATTACGTACAAAAATGATGATGCATGAACACTATCAGTTTACTTAGCAATCTTAAAGACCTCAATCAGATTCCATCTAACTTTTTTTTTTTTTTATGAGAAAATCATTTCAGAGATATTAACCTGTCCTCATATGACCTTACTGTCTCAGGTATCATTCTAGTAGCCTTCCGGTGAATCCTTTCCAACAATTCAATGGTCCTTCTAAGGTAAGGATCCCAAGATTGAACACAATACTTCAAATGTGGTCTAACCAGTGACCCATACAATAAGATTAAAAAACTCTTTAAACTTGTATTCAGTATTTCTGCATATACAACCTAAGATCCTATTTACCATACCACTAGCAACAGTACACTGCTTGGATGGCTTAGAAGCTGATCAACTAGAACACCAAGATATTTTTCTTCTATAACACTATTAAAGTTATTCCTATCAAAACTATACTCATAATTCAGATTGTGATATTCCATAATGTTATCTTGCATTTATTTTTATTAAAAGCTATCTGCCATTTGTTTACCCAATTCACTAAATAATCCAAGTCTTTTTGTAAAGCAGCAGCATCTTCCTCATAGTCAGTAACACCCAAAACCTTAATATCATCAAATAACTTAAATAATCAATTGATCAATATTACTGATGTCAATCAAAAAGAGCAAATTTGTGATATTAATCCAATTTGACTGAACTCCATTAATAACAACCGTCTGCTTTCGTCCATTTAGCTAGTTTTCTGTCCAATAATGAATGTTACCCTACACACCTATCGAGGTAATATTATAACAATTCTTTGTTGTAAAACCGTGTCAAATGCTTTCTGAAAATTCACATACACTAAATCCACGCCCTCACCCTCATCTTCATAAACAGTAACCTCTTCAAAGATTGTCAAAAGACTAATAAGGAAGGGTTTTTCCTCTAGTAAAACCATTTTGACTATACAACAAAATTTTAAACTTTGCTAATTTACTTTACGAAGCATCTTTTTTTCATTTTCAAGAACGTTTCCCACCAATTATGTATGATTAATAGGCCTGTAATTAGTGGGACAGTTTTCATCACCTCCTCTGAAAAAAGGAATAGCATTATCCAACTTCCAATCATCTGACACTGGCCTGCTACTCAAAGAATTAGAAAAAAATATTAGCAAGTGGCTCACATATCTAATGCTTATCCTCCTCTAAAATCATTGGCTAAATATTATCTGACCTTGGAGCTTTATCATTCTTTAACCCAATGTTTACCTAACCAGTTCAGAATTAATGTGATTATAATGTTTCCATCTAACAGCTGTTCAGGATGAAGAATATGGCTCAAATCTTCATTAGTAAAAACTGAAGAAATGTAGAATTAAATAATCGAACCATCTCACAGTCATCAGATATACACCTTTCTGTATCATACGTTAAAGGCCCTACTCTCACTCTAATATTTTGCTCACCCTTAATGTATTTAAAGAAGTGCTTACTATTAATTTTTATAGCCAAAATTTTTTTGAGATACAATTTTTGGTTTATTTCCTGATTTCTGAATTGACCTATAATTGTTTAAATATCCCATCATAGCAGTCAGTTTAAATGTCTTTAATTTTGAGACAATAACTCACTTCTGCACACAGGTTAGTTTATATTTTCATTGTTGTAGTGAATTTAGAATACTTTTAACAAATTTTACTACCTGTTTTCTAGGCTCAGATCATACACATTGGTGCCTCACTTCATCCTCGAACACCATATGTGCAGCGGGTACCACCAAATGGTGTTTCTTTGTTTCTTTTCTGGGGAATCAATCTTTTGTTATTGGTTGGCCCTATCTTTATGGCCTGGAACTTCTGGAACAATTTTCACTTTGCTTCCAGAGAAGTTATCACAAGACGGGATTCTACCCAGAAGAAGGAGTAACTTTCTTGGATCAGAAGAAATGAACAATAATCACCCTCTTCCAATGACATAAAAGTACATTTTTGTGGGATTTTACGTACTTTGAGTATTAAACTTGTATTGGTAAGAATAAAGGGCTTAGGAAAGTATCAATGCCACATTTACATTATAAAGAATTTCCAGTGAATATTTTAAAGCTTTTTCTGAAATCTCGTAGTTTTGATTCCCAGATCCAATATTCTAGAAACAGCTGTAAAAACCAAACTCAGCTTTAAATGTTTTTCATTGCTTATGGCTAGTGATAAATGTTTACTTGCAAGAAATGTCCAGTAGCAGGACTCATAACAGCCAAATTAACAAAATATGCCTTCTTAAACTTTATTGTATTACAGTTTCTTTATATCTGTTAGAGCAATTGTTTAATAAAATAATTTTTTAAAGTGAATATTTCATATACCAGTAAACTGTGCAATATTTAACTATTGGTAAAATTTATTGGACATAGTTTATAGAAAATTGGGTTTACATTTGTGTGTACACATACATACACACACACACATATCTGTTTCTCAATGGGTATGTATTAACTTGAAATTTAATGTGATGTATGGTGTGAGCCTTTATTGTAGTGCTGAAACTTAACTGAGTAACCACTATGTTAAATTCTGGAAGTGGCTAGGTAGCCAGCAATGGCCTTTTAGCCTGTAGACTAAATAGCTATTACCAGCATTTTATCCACTTCCAAAATTTAAACCAGGTTATGTTTGTTAAATGTATGGTACATGTGTAACCTTGCATACATATTCAGATACCTAGCTTAATGTTGTGACATTATAATGTTGAACATGTAGTATTCTAAGAGCATTATATATTTATGAATTTGCGACAGTGAAGGAAATGTTTAGTTGATGTTACCTATAAAAAATATCTTTGTAGGTTACTTTGTTTTTTATGACAACACATGTTTAGTTAAATATAAAAGTTATTCTTTATTTAAATGATATATATAAAACTTGAATTATTTTGTAGAAATAAATCAGATGTGAAAATATTTTTGATTGTGTTTTCAGGAATTTAATCAGAGTTTTAAATTGTTAAACTATGAATTTCAAGAATAGATAGGATGATAATATATGGAGAGGTATTAACTTTATGTGAAAAATATTTTATTGAGTAGTTAGCGAAATGATATAAAATATACATTTTATTATATATGTGATTTCAATATATATATGTTTGCATTTTCATAATTGATTTTTCTAAGTTTGCATTAAAATTTCTTTCTCAGGAACTGCTTTTATCTTTAGTAATACTTCTCAATTCCATGGTTATGTCTTTCCTCTCTTCTAAAGAATTTGAATGTTAATGAAATGGAACAGGAATCTCAATGGTTCTTTTTTCTTAATGGAGATGTAACAAAATTATACACTAATCCTATGCTTTCTTTTAAAGATATCTATGAATATTTATTATTAATTATTTCATAACTGTGATAGTTTAATGAAGTAAATGATTTGTTCGTACACTT